TTGGAAGCAATAATTTGTAATGTTTCTCAACATGCTCAAAACCATGGAGATGAGGGAAGACTTTGGAAACGTTTGAACTTATGTATTAAAACACAGATAGGCCATCTGTCAGGTAATTCCATGTTAAGCACAACACATACATGCAGCATATAAGGCAAATTGCGATTATATATGAAAAAGCCCAGGCAATATACCGTGTTCATCTAGTCTGAGATTAACAAACTAACATCTGTCTGATCTACTGAAGAGTCATCTGTCTTTTTAAAGAACTAAGATAATTTAACCGATATGTATCAGATGGATTACTTACTTCTTGTTCACAACTAGTCAATTAGACATTACAATCTCTCAGTGATAACCATGGTAAATGGATAATGCCTCATGTCCCACAGACTGGGATAATTAAGTTACATGTCATAGCTGAAGTAGAGCAGCATCTGATCTGGCAGATTATTGTGTGCTCTGGGCTGTCATTGACTTTCACAACGAGTTCCCCTTTGAGACGTGACCTCAGTCAGGGTCAGACAGCCCTCTTTCTTCCTCTGATCTTCCTTATGCTTACTGGGGCATCTCAAATCTCATGGAAGCATGACTCGTGCATTTATAGAAGATATTCTCAGTAAACCCACACAGAGAGAAGCAGTCTGTGCTCAGACTGACTGGAGCTTTATATTTCTTAATGCAGCAAATAAGGATTAAGGCATTAAACCAAATATAGTTCTCACGATAGCTGAAGGAACCAATTACCCTCAGTATGCGCATGTTTCCATTACGAGCATCTACATGCTAAATTTGAACAAACATGGGAAAATCGCAACCTTGGAGGTTTTATGTGCGTATGTTGCATTGAATTATGCTTTTCCCAAGTACTGAATGCTAGTGTTCTTTTATTGATATTATTATCAGTAACACAGTGTCAGATGGATAGAAAACAATCACGAAATGATTAACAAAGTCCCCAGAAGTGCATGTGGTGAGGGTAATAAACAGAAAATGCCTCGATAGCTCAGGCTGTTTTGGAGGCAAAAGGGGGACCTACACAATATTAGCAGGTGGTCATAATGTTGTGCAAGCGACAACTGTTTTATCCACCACTGTCCCTCATGTGTGAATTGAGAATGACTGAGAGGACAGCCTTTGTATTGTCTTTGTCTTTTCACAATTTTCACAATTTTCACAATTTTGTCATATTTGCTAATGTAATAAAAATAAAACAGGAAAGTTAGGAATTTTAACTAAAGAACCTCAATTTCTTCCTCTTTTCTGGAGATTTTTATACGTCACTATACATGACCCCACAACAAAGTCATAATTTTGTAACTCATGAACTGTTTCTTTGTTATGGCGCTCCTGTACAAAGAAAACTGGGAATCACTATTTGTGTAAAATTGATAGTTAATTTTTCAATTCAACATACAATATTTATGCACTGTTAATAGACAGTAGTAGTGTATTCTGGGAATACCTCTCTGCAATTAACCAACTGTTTCTACATAAACAAAAATACAGTGAGTTTATTAGATACTTTGAGAAATCTACTTAAATTGTTCTCAAGCATGGTCATCTAAACATAAAGCAAGAAAGGCTGTTTACAGCTTTGTTTTATATTCACAGAAACCATCAGATGGCAGCATAGAGTTTTTTTCATCTAGCCTTGTGGAACCTTTGTCCTACAGCCTGTTCCCTAGAGTAATGGTGCAACATGCACACTCAGGGTAAAAGGATTACAGTAAGTTATTATGGTAACATCAACACACAAGTGTCAAATAGTTAAATCCTAATTGGAAAACATCTGATCAGAGAGAAGAAAAAGTGCTTCTCCACCCAAAAGTATGACTCAAAATATCAAAGGAATTTTGGGGAAAGATGTTCAGGCAGGTAATAACTTTACCTTGATCTCTTTAGTTGCTGGGGAAGAACTTCTTAATAGTGTAATTTTATGAAATTGCCTGCAGATATACGCGATCCAACCTAAAAATAAATTTACTTTAATAGTAAAGGCTGTTACTGCTCCTCTGTTTTTGAAAGTTCGGGTAGCTCCAGAGCAAATAATACTGTACAAACTGTACAAATCAAATCAAACTTCAAATTATTTGTGTCACTGACTTGGGATTTACCTTCAAGAGTGTAGTGAATAAATTATTACAGAGGACTGAGACAGCTGACCCAGAGTGGACACGCCCTGTGAAGCAGGATAAACACATAGGATTTGTTCCATTCAGTGTCATCTGTCTCTCTTCAGATGAGTCATTTGACAGGTCAAAATACTTGTGACGAGTAAAAATGTACTACTTTATTTATTTACTTCTATTTTACCTACAGTATGTGATGACTCAGAGAGTGACTGTGGTATCAATGTGAGAAGTCTCACTGTTGCGCAAGTATCATAGTACTTTCGAAAACCTCACACTGACTGTGTATGTTTAGATCTCATCATGCACTCCAATACAAATGTGTGAGAAGTTCACATGCCTGTACTTGTTAGGCTTTTTTGTGCATGGGAATCGCTTTTTGGCGGCATATGAAGTTTTCTAATAACCGCTTACACACCAGCAGCTGCTCATTAAAACCTGTTTGACCTGTGAGATAACAGAATCCACTCCAACTGTAAATTCAAGGCCACTGTTGTCGAAAGGGAATTAGTCAAAAGAGAAACTGAATCTTCCAGGCGCCGTTTAACATGTGAAATGCATTTTCACCATTATACATATTTATGTGTGTAACAACCGTTAAATTTGAAAATCCAGTCCTCAAGAAAATACCACAGCAAACCTGACATGGTGTACAAGATATCCGGCTGAAAACTGACATTTAAGCTCTGGGATTTCCCTCATGTTGTCATAGTGAACAGGTCAGAGCACTGTCATGTCAACTGTCATGTGAAAACAATTCTCCCTCAGGAGTGTGCACAGTGCTCCTGAAAATGAAACTGCCAGCTGAGCTTCCTGGATTCATTCTTAGATAGCTATCTTTTGCTAGTGTGTCAGAAGAAAGTCGTTTACTTTAATGCAGGCCTCTAGGGAAATGACTTCTTGTTGTGGTTGTTGGTGGTGCCCACATATACAAAGTGCAAGGTACAAGGTCCAGGGTAGATTTATTTATTATTTTACAACGCATAACGAGAAGTTTTATTTCCCTTTATGTTACTCACAAAAGCAAATGTTATATAAAGATCAGAAACAGTAATGTATTGTATGCTCACATAGTTACTAATACATAAAGACTAAAAAGAAGAAAAACAAATAGAAAAATATTACAAAACTGACAGTGAAACATACAAAAATATACATATATTAGACACCAGCCCAGAAGCATGATGTGAAAGTTAGGCTTACAGAGGATAAACACAGTCATAAGTGGGATATGACTGGAACAAACACATTCTTTTTTCCAGTGAGTAGATGTATTGGAAAGTGCTTGATCTTAAGGACATTTAAACTAGTCAGCTAACCCAGACCCTAGCAAACATCAGGAAACTCTGACTCATACTCATAACTGGTGATAGTTGCATTGAAAGTCTACATAATACATCTGATGTTCTCATTGTTGATTGGATATAGTACTATATGGTGTCATAACAGCAGGAAAAATCAATACAAAGTACTCATACCTACAGCTGAACTGTGTCTCAGCTCTGTAAGCCTGTTTGTTGACCTCCTCCAGGGCAGAGCAGAGTTCAATTCATTTCAGCGGACCTATGGCAGATAAAACACCTACTTCTATCCGTGCAGTCTACACTTGTAACTCAAGCACATGACAGTCACCACACGTGTTGAAAATAAAAGTTACAAAGCCAACAAAATTATATGTGTGAAAGAATGTGATATTTTTCTTTGTATGTGTTTCTAAAGTGATACCCCAGTTAATGGCCCTCAGCTGCCATTTTAGATGTTGATTTGTTAATTTGCTATTCATATGGTCCTGAAAATAGATGGTGAAATGGCTTGTGATCACATTACACAATTTAATGTCTTCTTTGACTCATCCCCTGACGATATTATATTTATTATATGGAACGTATTATCCATTCAACTTCCACCCACATTAATGCAACTTCCTATTTTGGCACTTTGTGGAGCTTAAACTGTAAAACAAACAGGGTGTTATGCTTTGTTTACTTCACCTAATGTATGTATTGACATCATGTCTTGGGTTTTATACACACACAGCAATATAATAGAATCATGACTCTCTTTGGTACTCTACAGAAAATATGTGATTATATGAAAATATATACTACTTCTCCAACATATATGGGGCTGGAATTATAAGCCTGATCTAATACATTAGCCTACAATATACTGTTTTCACTGTGTTGTTACACTTCGTAGCAATACATACAATTATTCTAATGTATTTAAATGTAAAATAATATGATAATGTTGCAAAATGGTGGTTTTGAATGTTGTTTTTTTCCTGCTTACCAAGCATCTCTGGCTACAGACTTCCAGTGGCCTATGAACAATGCTTGCTCAAAAGTGTCAACTTTTATTGTTGTATATCAAATAATATGACATTTAAAAACATTGGGTTATTATAAACAGTTATAACATTAACTTTATTAGTAACATTATTATGCTTTGTGTTGCATAATAATTTATATTGAGACTATTTGAAATTATACAAACCAAATCATTATTAACCAAGCTTCACAAGGCCTATATATTTTGTAATTGTTAAAATATTTGTAGGTTGTCAGTGTTTCAGCCTGTTGAGGTGTTTCACCGGGCTAAACAGATAAACATCATCTATCTGTCTGTCTGTCTATCGATCCATCTATGGAGTCTGTCTCAGCGTAGGAAACACTGACATCATGAAACCTCAGTGTTTGACGCTACGTAAGATGAGTCGATACTGCGTGCGCGTCCCCTCCCTCCACCTGTAACAGAAACCGCCTAGAAAAGCTCGCTCCCGCTCCTCCCCTCCCCATTCAAGGTGCGGCTGAGGAACAGGTGCGAGAGGAATCACTGAGAGACTTTAAAACTGAAACATCACCGTTGTCTGCTGATTGTTTTCAGAAAGCTAGGGAAGACGCAAAGAGAAAATAAGAGACAGACACTTTCCTCAGCAACAAAGCAAACATTGCTAAAACCCGTCCGATTGTTAAGTTAGTGGGGGATTTGTACCTTCAGAGCAGGTGGACGTCGTCTTTGTTGATTCGCCGCGAAGTCGTTGAAGCAGAAGTAGCGTGGTGGAAATGGCCAACAAAGGTCTGCAGCTTTTGGGATTCGCCCTGGCCCTTTTGGGTGTAATTGGACTGATAATTGGCACAATTATGCCTCAGTGGAAGATGTCTGCTTATGTTGGGGACAACATCATCACAGCGGTGTCCATGTATGAAGGACTGTGGATGTCCTGTGCGTTCCAGAGCACAGGCCAAATGCAGTGCAAAGTCTACGACTCAATCCTGCAGCTCAACAGTAAGTAACACACTTACTGGATTCAAATGATGTGTCGTTGAAGGCTTGGAACAAAGTTTAAATTGTTTTATGTTTATACCCATACTACGGGCAGGCCTTATAGCTGGGAAGCTGTTAAATGTTGCCGTGTGTGTGTGTATGTATATTTTTTTCTGTAGGCCTCATAGGCCTAATATCACTGAGCGCTTAGCTCGGCGATGAAACTGGCTTTAAAGTTAAGTCATTTTAGTGACTAAAAAACATGTAATTGTTTAACAATAAATGCTGTAACACACTGGCATGCACCTGTTGGAATTTAAACCTAGCAACTTTTTTGTTTTAGGCCTTTTTTACAAGAAGTTCTGAGCCGTCTTCTATGACTCTTGGCTGTTAACAGATTCCTGTGGCTTGGGCTGACCGTTTCTATCACTTATTAACCGTCTTTCTTTCACTAAGAAAGCCGTCATTTTGTTTAAACCGCACCAAGGCCTCACCTGTAGGCTACTTGTAGCTTGATGACTCAGTGCCGGAGATTTCTTTCGACTTGATAGGCGGGAATGTGTGCATCACCTTCACACTTCCTATAGTCATTGGCCAGTACAATTGCCCCTGCATTGTGGAAAACCCCGTAGTGTCGGGCTTGCATTACAGCGCAAAGGTAGTTACAGGTTAAACACCCAGGAGCCACTGTTTAGGCAACAGGTCTCAGTGCCAGCCCCCACAATAGTTGTTTTGTCTTAGGCCTAAAGGGCATCAGATTACCACAAACCCTTCTTTGCTATGTTTTTGTGGCCCAAAGGGTTGACTCCTATGTAATGTCTGGAAAACTACTTAATTGACTAGATATACTAAAATGTTTTAGCACAACACTCCTTTTAAGAACCAGGCTGAACAATTACAAAAGGCCCTTCTTCCGGTGTATGGTATATGGCGGTATTGTTGTTTTGAGATAAATGTTAGTGTTTTTCACTGGCAATCATACAGCCCATTTGGGGGGGAAAAAAAGAACATGTTAGGTTAAATGGGACAGTTGTCACATTTCCTTAATTTTTTTTTTCTGAAAGTCAAATCACATGTGCGGTTACTATCTATCTTTTATGACACATCTTATCTTTAAGAGCACTGGCAAAATGGGTCAACAGCGGTTGGATTTCCTATTATACAGGTTTTGATCAGTTCAGTAACTGATCTCCTCAGGCATAAACTGCCTGAGGAAAACCTTCTGTACACTTAGGTGTATTGGTCCCTCCCTGTGTTTAATCTTTACTTATATTCACTAAAGCACTTAAAGCTTCAAGTTACTTATTGACTTGAGTTAGAAGTTCACAAAACCGTCTATTTTCTCCATATAGCTTAAGTGTCTTTTCTTATTTCTTATTTTCTATCTCACTTATCAAAACAGCTGATTAAAATATCTGTAGCACAATGAGTCTTATCGCCTTTTCAAACACGAACACAAACAACTTTTGATAAACATTGTGTGATTAAAGCTGTGGTTAGATATGGAGCAAGTGTACAAATAATGCCTCATTATTCAGAAGTACCTGCTCAAGATCTAGTGACTTTGTTTGAAACCACACGAGGCATTCTTCACTTTTTTTTTTTTTTTTTTTTGAGAGGGCCTTGGTAGTTTGGAGCAAAAAGCCACAAAATGTCCACCTGCTGAAAAGCAGGCTGCAAGTACCTGAAATTGGGAGTGTCTTCCTTATAATGAAACCTGAAACCTGGTTAGACCTGTTTTCTAACACGCATACAAAGCCGCCCCCCCCCCCAAGAGTTCTCACTTCCGGTTAGAGCCGGTTTCTGCTTTTCTTTTTTTTTTCTTTTCTTCTCACTGGGAGCGGCAATGACACGCTGTTATATGAACAATGCTTATTTGCACTGCTTCCCCCCCACCCAATGTTGGATGCGAAAGCATAAGTAGAGGCTTTTAATAGAATCACTGTAGAATTAATTTCAAATGCTACGTTATTTCACTCTTGTTTAAGCCTGTCAAGTCTTGCCGCACCCTCGTCCCTATGTACCAACTATTAAGTGTTAAATATTTGCTATTAAATGATGGATTAACCCTATCCTGTCCTCTTATCCAGGTGCCCTCCAGGCAACCCGCGCCCTGATGATTGTGAGCATTATTGTAACAGTGGCCGGCTTGGGCGTAGCTTGCATGGGAATGAAGTGCACCAACTGTGGAGGAGATGACAAAACCAAAAAGGCCAACATTTCAATTACTGGTGGTGTTATCATCCTGGTCGGAGGTAAGAAGCCATTTAATGTTTGTTTTTGTTCTTCTCTTTGGACGGTTTCAGTGATTTATCTTTACTTTCCCACAGCTTTGTGTTCTGTTGTTGCCTGCTCCTGGTATGCTAATGACATCATCAAAGCCTTCTACAACCCTTTCACCCTGTCAATACAAAGTAAGTATTTTGAAATTTAATGGAAACTACACCTTTATTCACACCTTTTGCATCTTGTGCTGTTATTTAATTTTTATTAAATAGGCTAAGTTTTGCAGTCCCACTCAACAATAGGCTAAACATTTCCTTTAGCTCAGTACAATATCTCCGAACATGTTGGATGTGCTGGTTGTTTAAGATACCAGCTTGAAGCTCTTCCTCCTCCCCCTTGTGTAGCTAGACATTTGCATGTGTCCAGCCACTCTTGCAGTGCTGATGGCATTGTGTATGTTTGTTTTTATATTAGCTGGGAGCTCAGCTGGCATCTGTTAACCCTGTTGACTTACTGTAACGTCTCTCTCTGAAGGTATGAGTTTGGTTCTGCCATCTTCATTGCCTGGGCTGGCGCAGCCCTGGCTGTAATAGGAGGTGGCATGATGTCCGCATCGTGCCGCAGACAAAAATCTACACCGAAGTATCCCATCTCCAGACCTCCCAGCAGCGGCAAGGAATACGTTTGAACAGGCAGGACTCGGTGTTAGAGGCTGAAGGAACACTTTGACATTCACCCTAGTCCAACTCAGAGATTGAAAGGTTGAAAAGATATATCCCAGGAAGTGATCAGTACCAGTTTTATTTTATTTTTTTAATTTGTCTCTTAGTTTCTTCAGGGAACCTGTGATGTTACTGTAATATTTAACAAATACATTAAAGTTTTAAATAACTGCTGTTTACTACTTAAAGAGCTTATTTGCTTTTCCCTGTCTACAACTTACTTACTATGGTGTATACTGTCCACTTTGTTGACGTCAGTAAAGCACTAAGTTCAAATTAAGGAAGGGAAACGCCAATATTACACAACTTGGTAGTAGAAAATATCTTTCACCTGCTGCATGCCACAGTGTACAGAGTGTTTGTGAATGCACTGAATAGAAATCAGATATGGCAGTGGACACCATTTTGTTACTGTGTATGCTGAATCTATGTAGGTTAATATCTGGCACTTGAGAAACAATTTCCATGTATTTGTGCCTTATTTGTTTTTTTATTTATATGAAAATGACAAATCATTCAGTACCACTATACACTGTGTTTAATCAGTGCCGCAGTGAAATTGTAACTATATAAAACGCAATAAATTCCTTTAACTCAGATTGATGACCTTTTTGCTGAAATACATACAGCGTGATGATGTGATGTATTTGGTGACTTGTTCTGTAATTGCTGTTGGTGTGGAAGCGCTTGCTTATTGCTTTTGTTTTTTTTAGTCAATAGTTTCACTCACATTTCATTTTTTTAACCTTTTCTAAAATTGTGATTTGTGAAGTTTGTACATAAAATAAAAGTGGAAAATGTACCCTTTCTGGAAATGCTGTTTATGCATAATGGAACTTTCATCAAAGGAAATGCAGCTCCGAGTGCTTTAAATAAAACGGATTAAAACCATTTAAATTTGAAATACTTTTTTTTTTTTTTTTTTTTTTAAAAAGGAAGTAAAATGAACACACGAGTACAACAAGCTTTGTCCTTGAAATAGTGTTGAATACAAAACAGGCATGCCCTGAACCATACAGCTGCCATGAGCAGATGTTATTCAATTATGAACACACTTTATTGGCATTGTAGGTGAGCAAACCTGCCAGACTCAGGTTGTGGATGATTTTCTTACTGAAATTGTAAGGGCCGCACTTTACTCTTGCTGGAAGCCATCTTCCTTTGGGTTGACGGGTGCACAGCATCATAATGGCTAACGAAGTAAAATGTGCTTTGGTTTTACTGCTACTGCTGGTGTGTGTGTGTGTATATAGGTAACTGCATTTAATTGGCTCAGATGTTACTGTATGGGTGGATGGATGTACTGTACATTATACATAGTGTTATATTTTCAAGTGTCAGTAAAACTTATTGTGTGTGCTGGCTCAGGACTGCATTTTTAGAGCCATTTAAGTTGCGGGAATTAATATTTCACTGCAGTGGGGCATTTTCACTTGAATTCACCTCATTCCTCTTATTTTTACATTGTCTCCTCTACATCTCCCCTCACTTTGTCAGTATATGTCTCCGATTAATGATTCTCCAGCAGTGTCTTCCGCAGTTCTCATTCTGCCTGCCATTCTCTAATCATTCTTTCCTCCCTTTGGGCCAGATCAGAAAAGTAATAATGATTTTACTCCTAAGTGCCCAAACATTTTCCTCCCTGCACAAATACATCACAAATACATCTGTAGGCTCCTCTAATCGAATCAGGAAGGTAGGGCAATTTATCAGAGTACATGCAGGCCATCACAGCACATGCTTCTGTGCCACTCAATCACTGAATGCTGCTGATGAATTATTACTGGTTATCACCCTGACAGTAGAACTGCTCTATTTAAATGGTCATTTATTGGACCATTACAGGTAATAGTAAGCAGGAAGGTCGAATGACCTTATTATCATGACCGTGAACCCACTACCCAAACTGTCAACACATAAACAAACGTGCACATGCTAGTTCTTGAATGACTCGAGACCTATGCAAGAGACTTGTGTTTTCTTGTGGTAGAGCTGGGGTAGGCAACTTTGGAGAAACTAGCAAGACACAGCTAGATTTTTTAAGTATCAAACCTAAAATCTCACCCCCTCCCCCTCAAAAGCCACTCTCCCAAAATCCATTTTCATGCGCAGTGAGTGCACAGGGACAGTATCAAGGCAGGCTGACAGGCAGGTAGGCCAGCTGATCATTTCATTGCTTATTACAGACCTGCGATGGTCGCAGATAGCTACTGAATTCTTTTTTTTTTTTTTGTCAGAGCATTTGAGATTGAATAAATATATTGCATACCCAACAGCTTTAAAGCTGCATAGGACAAGACAATATTTGTTTTTAATGTGAAATAAATCCAGCCTAAATCACAAAGCATAACTGGCTCGTGTCCCAAAACTTTAATTGAATCGAGTTGATATTAGATATGATTCTCCCACTACGCATAATAAATAAACTCAGTTCAGCTTTAATTTTGAGGTCTGCATTCCCTGGACTTTTTAAGTACCTTCGTCTTAACGGACAAATTACCTGTACGTCTGCACACGTCAGATGATTAGTTCAATAAAGAGCTTATAAATTAAAATGTAGTGGGATGGTGAGCATATTCAGTGGATTCTGAATACAGACATTTTGCTCAATATTCTAATCTGTCAACCTACAGTAATGTACTTCTTCGATATTGTAAACATATGCTCTCACCATTGGCAGCAGTGTTAAAAACAAACTTTCTGTCACTTTAATTTTTCTGTAACGTCACAGTCCTCAGTACAGGGCGAATCTGCTGTCAAGCGACTGCATGACCATAAAAAAATGAATGGTGATTTGATCAAGGGTCACAAAATACAAACAGCGCCAGTGTAACGCTCTCTGTTGGCCAGTGTGCAATAAGTGACCCTAAATATAATCACAGCAGTGCTGCAGTTTGTTACAACAGAAACAGAACATTACAGTTATAGCAGTCTCAACATTGTGTTATATTCTGAAAGACAAAAGAAAACATCAGAGACACACAAATCGCAGTTATACTTCAGAGATTTGGAGGTAAAAGAATTAAGCCTCCCTATACTTTTCCTCACTAAAATCTTATGCAATCTTAAGGAAATCTTATATATATATATAATGTGTTTTGTTTATTAACAAAACACATTTTGGCTACAGAATGATGAGTGCAATATGAACTATATTTACAGAAACATAACATGATATGAGTAATACATTATATATATTGAAGAGCCCTCATGCCAGCTTTTGAATTTCATAATTGTCTTACTAAAGTACAAAAATAAGAAACCAGTTTGCTACTTTCATTTTCTGTTCTCATTTTTTCTAAAGTGGTAGGATGTTGTTTGTGACATCACTTTCAGGTTTGAACAGCTCCCCCGGAGCCTCAAAATGCTTCATTTAACAGTTTCAGTAGTACTGCTCAAGACCTGCGAACAGACCTTTAAAACAATCTCTAAAACAGACCAGAGGTCCCAAACCGGGTTCCAATTACCGCAAGATTAAAAAAGAATTCATGAGTAAGCACTCTGTAGCTTATGGGATCTCAAGATGTAATGTGCATCTTCACCTCTTTAGTTTCAGATACCAGCTTGCGCCTCCTCCCCTTTTGTAGCCAGATATTTGCATGTGTCCAGCCGATCTTGCAGAACGAATGCATTGTGCATGTTTGTTTTATATTAGCTGGGAGCCCAGCTGGCATCTTAACACTGCACATTCTGCAGTCTTCTGTGCAAATATAGAAGAAGATGACTTACACCTTTGATTCTACACCGGATGTAGAAAGAAACACAGACATTTGTGTGCTTGAAATTTTAATAGATTGTTGCACGTAAAACAAATTAAGAAAAAAAAAAAAAAAAAAGGGTCATAACTGAATTTATCTTCTATTTGGGTAAAATGATCAACCCAAACCCACAGCACATTCAAAGTCATCCAACCTTACACTTGCTTCTTGAGAACAATGGAATGATCTTCAGCTATAAGGAGGCCTCGTGCATCAACATTTACATTTAATTGACTTAAACTGGTCAAACAAGAAGAGAACGTGTGGCTTAATTAAACTTTTGTACAGGGGTGAATTTCTTAGAACATTTTAACAACTGTAAATCCTGGTTTGGAAAATTATGAGCAACTCACACTGGGAAACAAAAAACAAAAAAAACCGACAACATAATTTGCAGATTCCTTCTCTTCATGCACTTGCAGAGTAACTACTTAACCGTGGCCTATTGGCTATGAGTAGCATAGCAAAATTAAGTCAGAGACCCAATCTCCACGTAGGCCAGCGTCAGTGCTAAAATGTGAAGGCAGCTTCATTTATGAAATAGTACCCCACAAAAGGTTAACGCACCTTGTTGCCTAACATCAAATGGTCGATTATCTCCGGACGGTAGTATAAATGAAGTGTGACAATTCTGACACAATGTTTGAAACTGAAACTGAAGGACACTTCCTGTCACGGGAGATTTTCCTTTGGAATCTCACAATAGCACAAACATTCAAAACATTTTAAATAGTGCAGCATTTTAACCTTTACTACTGTACTTAAAATCAATATTGCTCATCAATATCATCCTGTCAGCCAAACATTTGCTTTCCCAAACGGAAAAAGGATGTGACCACGGCGACATTAGCCGTTTTGACTGCTTAAATGGATTAGAAGTTTCTTTAGCCGCTTTTGTGCTGGTGTTCTGTGCTTTGAAGTGAGTGATAATCTGATGCATTTTATTATTCTGCATGAGGCCAAATTAACCTGTTATATAAAAAAAAAAAAAAAAAAAAACACACATGAAGATGTCCTCCATACTGGGGTGCCAACAATCCAGCCGGAGTTTTATTTACACAGTTACAAAAGATGCAAATTTGTAAGTTGGTTCTCCCAGAGTTAATTCAACAAATCATTTCTCTGCCCTAATAAGAGGGTGGTGGAGGAGGGAGCTACAACCATCCCTCTCATCTCTTCATACAGGACGGGCGGTGGGATGGACTGGGCTTAGAATTAATGACGTGAGGCACAGAGTTGGCTTCAGAGGGGTTTGAGGTGCGCTATGGGTATAACAAGTCATAAAAGGAGATAAAAACTACTGAGACTGTTATTTTGCATCCTTCACCGTCTGTCTCCACTTCCACAGCTCCGCAATAACCTAAGAGAGA